TATTTATCTTTGGGTCAAAGACAGAGCTAGGAGGAATCTTTTTGCTACAAGCACCAGGGTCTGGGGCGACGACCCAGGACGCTCCAGGAGGGAAAAGTTGGGGGTGAAGGAAGGGAGCAGCTACACCTCAACAGTAACTGGAATTCTCACTTTGGCGATGACCCTGAACTTCCCTCAGCTCTCTAGCCCAAGACCTGAAAGGCTGGCTCTGCCGGTTGAGGCTGCTAATTTAGGTATACCAGCAGCTGAAAGATTTTTGTGCTGCCCATGAGATTTTTAAGGTGGTAGAGGATGAGGAAGATGAAGAGGAATTTAGTTGATTAATGAGTGAGTTCAGCAGTTTATATTAAAAAAAAATCCACTGCCATCAAATCCATTCTGACTCATAACCATCCTACAAGACACAGCAGAACTGCCCCACAGGGTTTCCAAGGCTGTAAATCTTTACAAAAGTAAACTGATACATTTTTTTGCCCACAGAATAGCTGGGTTTGAACTGCCAACCTTTGGGTTAATAGCCTAATGCTTTAACCACAACGCCACCAGAGCTCTTTAAAGTTTATATAAAAACCAAACCAAACTCACTGCCATTGAGTCTATTCTGTCTCACAGTGACCCCCTTTGGGTTTCCGAAGTGGTAAATCTTTACGGAAGTAGATTGCCCGGTCTTTCTTCCACGGAGTACCTGGTGGGTTTGAACTAGCAAACCTCTGGCTAGCAGTGAAATGTCTTAGGCACTACGCCAGCAGGCCACCTTAAAGTTTACATGCTGTTGTTGTTGTTATGTGCCTTTGGGCGGCCCCAACTCATAGAGACCCCTCCTTGGGTTTCCAAGGTGGTACCACTACTTCTTCTACTTCTACTTCTTCTACTACTTGGGTTTGAACCGCCAGCCTTCTGGTTAGCAGTCAAGTGCCTTAGGCACTATGCTACCAGAGCTCCTAAAGTTTATATGAGGAAGTGTAAATTAGAATTTTAGGCTCCATCTAATCTAACAATTTGAGGCCAGTCAGATGATAATGAAGGAGCAAGAGAAATCTATACTCAAAAAAGAAATGAATACTTCCTTCCATTGCTAGAAAAAATTGCCATTAGAATATGAAAATTCTTAAAAACCATAGCCACACTGAAAGGGATTTTCAACAAACTCCAAGGTTAGAAGCCCCTGAGCAGTGCAAATAGTTAATGCACTTGGCTGCTAAAAGTTGGAGGTGTGAGTCTACCCAGAGGTGCCTTGGAAGAAAGGCCTGATGATCTGCTTCTGAAAAATCAGCCATTACAAACCCTATGGGTTGCAGTTCTACTCTGACACACACGGGTTCACCATGAATTGGAGTCGACTCAACAACAGCCGGTTTGGGTTTTCACACTGTTTGGAAAAAGAGCCTTCATTACTCTAAAGGATTGATAGCTGGGAGAAGAATTTCTTCCCACTACAAAACTGGGCGTTGGTTAACGTGAAGTCCCTCCAGATAGGACAATTTTTCTCCAGTGGTGCTCAGCAGACACATTCTACTTGAAGGCTTGTGCTTTTTGCAAGGATTTCTGGAGAAAGAAAAAGACCCAGTGTGTTGGTGCACCTGCTTTGGTATCCAAGGACAAAAAATTCTCTTCTCTCCAGCTCTGGAAGTTAGGGGTCTCCTGCTCGGCTCAAAGGCCAGCCACGGGGTTGACTCGGTTCTCACAAACGAAACACATCAACATGATTTGCCAGCAGACAATTCCTGCTTCTTAACCGACTCGACGACGGCACATAACAACAACAACAATGGTGTGTGTACTTGCTGTTACGCAAAGGCCTGCCATTGGAATAGGGCGCCTCTCTACATATGATGATGTACATATCTAGGAGTATCTGATATGCTTCTAAGTAGGTCAGGTAAGTTAGAGTAAAAGAAAAAAAAATTACCAGTTACCATTAACCCTACTGATTCATGCGACGACATGTGTCAGCGTAGCACTGTGCTCCAGAGTTTTTAATAGTTGATTTTTCAGTAGATCACCAGGCCTTTCTTCCAGGGCACTTCTCAGTGGACCTGAACCCCCAACCTTTCAGTTAGCAACTTAATCGTTTGCACCACCCAGGGGCTCCCGTATGTTATAGACAAGTATATAATAAGAACAACTGCAAAAATGTATAATACTTATGGCAACCGGCCTGCACGCTAATCCAGGCAGTTTTCTCTCATTTAAACCCCAAAAGGACAGGCAATTAGCAATTCTTTTCCTTTCCCCTCCCCCCATTCAGACTGGTGGCTGGCTTTTTGTTTTTTTAAAGGAATGGAATTACAGCATGGAGCCAATTGAAAGAAGAAAACAAAAGTTGCGTAAATGCATATGTAAGGTATGCAGCGTGACCAGCGGGCCCCTTTGCAAACCCCCCCCCCCAAGGCATCACCCTGGGCTCACCCCAGGGGTAAACTTTATTCTTCTTTGCAAGGACTTGTTTTCCATTTGGAGGGCTCATGCAGCCTTGACCACTTTGTGGGACTAAAAGAGAGAAAGCCTGGTCTAGTCTGTCCAGCAAAAAGCTGTCTCCCTTTTTTTAATCATCGAAAGTGCTGATCCTTCTGCCGCTGCAGCCCCCTGCCGGCCTCCCTCCTGGCATTCACTACCCCCACCCAGGGTGATTTCTGCTTTTGTGGCTCGTCAGATGCCATGGACTTCGTGAGCTTATGTTTCTATCCAGTGCTCTTCAAATCATTCATTGGGAAAGCCCAAAGAATGGTTTGAAGAGCACCAGATAAGAATACAAGTTCATCTTACACAAGGACCCCAAAACCCAATGCCTTATTACAGGGATGCTGCTAGACAGATAGGAGCCCCTAGCTCCCAAAGGTGATGCAAATGGTTAATTTAAGGCGCTTGGCTGCTAACCAAAAGGTTGGAGGTTCAAGTCCATCCAGAGGGACCTTGGAGGAAAGGCCTGGCGATCTACATCCGAAAAATCAGCCATTGAAAAGCCCATGAAGCAGACTTCTATTCTGACACACAGGGAGTCACCACGAGTCAGGGTCACCATTAGTCTTATTTGACTTCACAGCAGGTTGTTGTTGTTTTATTTTTGTCTTTTTTTTTTTCTGGTCAGGTGCCTACTGAAAACTGCTACCTCAAACATTAACTAGAACTCCTGCCCTGACATTGGGGAGAAAGGAGCCAGGGGAACTGGAAAGGCAAAGATTAAGGAAAGTGATTGGCATGGAGTAATTGCTAGAGCTGAGAGACCAGACTCTGTCAGTCCCTTGTTGTAACTTAAGGGAGAAAAATTGACAAACAAAAAACAAACTTTTCTCCACGTTTCCACTCCATAAATATGAAAAGATGAGATAGTCAGAAAAAGACAACTGCGGGCATTGCTCAGGGAACTCTTCTTATCCTACCTAGGATCAAATAGCCACAAAATCCGTATTCAGCAAACTCTGGTCTTCAAAACACCCAGTCCAGTTCTCAGAGCATCAGGCCTGCAGGGCATAACTGGAGGGCATAACAAGATACTTGCCAGGCTACATGTCTACTCACTTCCCAGCCATCACTCACATCTGCATTGCCCCAGCTCAGTGCCCGTGAAAGCCTCTCTCCAAGGGCAAGGGGGGGCTGATCTATTTTTCTAGTGGGGTGGTGAGGGCGATGAGGGTGAGGAGTCTCTGAGTGGTGAAAACAGTTAATGTGCTCCCCTGTTAATTGAAAGGGTTGGAGGTTTGAGTTCCCCCAGAGGCACCTAGGAAGAAAGGCCTGGAGATCTTCTGAAAAATCAGCCATTGAGAAACTTATGGAACCCAGTTCTACTCTTCCACAAACAAGGTCACCATGAATTGAATCGTTCCATGAAACTGGAGTTTTGGAAGAGGGTGATACGCCAGCACCATAAGCTACAGTTCTACCTATGAGAGGGCTCTGGGCCTCCCGGTCCTAATTCTTGCAGATCCTCCAGCACTCTTCCTAAGAAGATGGGCTTTTTTTTTTTTTTTTTTTTCCTTATGCATTTGCCTCAGTGGCAGAGAATACCAAACACATGCTCACTGAATTCCAAAAGCCTCCAGGGAGCTCTTGGGCTGCCCAGCTAGAAGTTCTGCAGGAGGAACAATAAACAACTCCCGCCTGCCATACTCAGAGGCCAGCAGAAAGAAACGGCTGGAAGCCTGGGCAGGGGATGCGCGTCTCTGGGGCTCAGAGCAGACAGACCTCCTCCAGGGCACAAGGAAACAGAGGAGGAGACAGGAAAGGAAGCAAGAGAGTCTAGCTCTAAACCTGTGCTTAGCCATCTGAGGCCGATCTAAATGAGGAAAGGGCAAGCTCGAGATGGCTTATCTCACAGTAGGTCAAGTTTTTCCTTGAACCACAAGGCCAGCTGCGGGCGGATGGGGAGCCGTGGTAAAGAACCGGCTGGTTCTCCAACGGAAGTGGAGTCTGGGCGCGCCTGGTTCTCATCCGCTATCAGCTTGGAAGTTTTTCCGGACCTGTTTACTCTTGCTTCTGAGCGAGGCTTCTTTGACTGAATCCCAAGAAGCTGGAGGTCACAGAGGGCCCTAGAATAGCTCTGGGTTACTCCAAGCTGGAGAGCCAATTTCTTGCTCCAATACCCCCGGGCCGAGATGCACCGCCGGCTTGTATTCAGGCCAGCACTGGGCCTCATGCCTTTCTATCACCTACCCATCCCTGCCTCCAAACACGAGGCCCTCCTAAACCCTCAACCACGGACCCGGGTGCCCAGTGATGTGTGTGCACGCGTAAGCTTCCGTTTGGTCTTGCCTCGTCCCCTTTATTTACTTGCTTAAGTGAACACTTTCGCCTTTCACCTGCGAAGGCACTGGGCGGTAAGAACACAATGTCTAAACCATCTGGGTCTTCGACTTCCCACTGGGCCGGGGCCGGGCTTTAGGCCATTGCCGGCTGGGCGGGGAATGCGGAGGTAGGCCTGGTTGGGCTAACTTTCCAAACCTCACCCAGGACCTACCTGGCAAGAAACTGCCCCGCATCCGCCCGGCCCCTGCTGCTCTTACCTGGCTTGGCGAGCGGCGCCTGCAGTGCCCGGGGCTGGGGCTCCGCGGCCCAGCGCAGCGCGGCGGCCGCGGCCA